AGGACCTGGAGCATCGCGGTGAACCCGGGGAGGGAACACCCTCTCTCGCTCTGAGTTATAGTGCCCGGCTGCTGCAAGGCTCCTGCTGAGAACTGGCTCTCTCTGCGACTCCCCCGTGGAAAACGTGGCCACCCAGACACCTGTGGTTTTGTGCATAGGTCCAGCCACATGGGGACGTTCTAACTCTCTTCCAGAAAAACACCAAGGAAGCACCTGTCTTTGGCTTTGTCTTGGCTGGGTCACCACGGACAAACCTGATGGAATTGCATAATATACTAAGAAAAATCAGTGTCAACTCTGTATGAATGTGGAAATGTTTGTTAAATGATAAGTAAAGGAATTAGACAAAATCGTATACCCAACAGGGTTACAACTCTTTAGTATTATTTATATCTATTTCGGCATATGGTTAAAGATTAGAGGAGATGAGATGCATTAAACGGCTTATATTCTGGTGAACATGGTTTATTTTGTTGCTTTTTGTGCTTTTGCTTTTCTTAATAGTAGTAATCAGCACCTATGTTGTATTGTATAGTTCAGAAATGAGAGGCCCCTGTGGGTGGCCATTATTCACGTTGCAGGCAGATAGACTGAGGTTCAGAGAAGCTGTGGATCCTGCTAATAGCTAAGTAGTAAAGTCAGACGCATGCTCTTTCCACTGCAACGTATTGCATCTCACATTGTAAAGTTGACCAAAGACAGAGAATTTTGAATTTATTTCTGCATGCCGTGTGGATGTTCAAGGTGGATGACCTCTAGGGAGGGAGTTCTGAGGTCATGTGAAGGTGAAGAGAAATTAGGAGTGAAGGTTTCCCAGAGGAGAACCCAGGAGAGGGTAAGAAGGTTCAGTATTCTCTTCTTTGTGTTCAGGGAATGGCTGAGGACATGGCGTGCCAAACCCTCTCTGTCAAATCTGGCATAAGGAATATACAGAAAAGTGTTACTAAACTTAAATATTCCAAACATCAAAACTATTCCAAAATGCCCTGGAGACACTTGAGTTTCCATTATTAGAAATGATTCCATTTAAAGGGAGTCTTCTAGCCCCATGAGTCCCAGGATTTGACATACTAAGTTATTTCTTGTAAGGCTCCTGACTGGAGATGGTACCACCACCCTGAAAGCTCTACTAGGACCCCAAACATGATCTACTCCTTTGACAACAGGGAATATAAGAACAAATATTGGCTGATGGGAATGAGTATCTATGGCCAGTTCACCTAAACATGCTATAGTTTCCTATCTAAGGGCATTCTGTTATTTTCAAACATCAGATGAGTACGGATATTTAGTGTGAAAGACCATATTGGACATAATTATAATCTGTCCAAGACCAAGAAGGGGAAAAACTCAAATCGTAGTCTATGGTAATTTTTGGTTTTGAAGAGGATAGGTGATCTCGCCAACAGCCCAGACTGTAAAAGGGACTGTGAGAGGCAGGCCGCTGCTGGAACTTGGGCGGGCTCCCGCCGGTCCTCGATGGGGCGGTCCTGCTGTGCAGTGATGAGGATTTGGGAGCTTGTAACACTAATGATGTGTAAATGCATTTTCAGCTATTTTATTAAGCTGGCCTTTCCACGTTCATTATCATTAATATATATGGTTGGGATATGTTCCTCCAGAGATTCTGCAAATAGCTCTCCTATTGTTCAGGAAAAATTTATAGCAAGTTGGTTAAAGGGGAGGCACCAGTGAGCCCAGGCTTATACTTCTCATAGGAAATGAAAGCATTACCAATGGTTTTGTAAGGAGGTGGACCTTTGGTCTATAGGTCTAGGCATCTTTTAAGCAGAGCTAATTAACTATGCTTTGATGAATCCAAGGGGAAATGTGGATGTCTGAGCACTGGAAGGCAGAGAAAGGTGGTACAAATTCCCCAAGATTATATCCTCCTCTGTGCTAATTTGCTTTGGAAAGTTCTACTTTTTGCCACCATCTGTCTCCAGCAAAGGGCTACAGTGTCCTCTGGATGTGGGAGTGAAGAAGGCAGGACCACAGCAGAGTTCAGTGGGATGGGAGGGTCTTCTTCCCTGGAAGACCCCACAAAGGACCCTGGCACTGGCAGGGCCTGAGATTTCCCAGTGCTGCATCTCAAATGGAGCTTGAAATTTCTGGCTGGGCCAGGAGAAAGGAAGTGGCTTCACCACTCAGCCATGCCCCCCACTCATGAGCTCTGGGTGGCTAGGAAACTATGGGGAGATGACAGGTTGGGCCGTGGAATCCGATTTTACCTCTGGTACGTTTTATAGCCATGAGCTAATCTGTACCTCCTAAAAGCGATTTGTTTGGATGGTATGGAAGGATTCTCACAAACGCACGAGCCCCCAATAAGATCATAAGCATCCATTTCTATAGGCATGGCCAGTCCAATACAAACCTACCTCTCTGATTCCTGAAAGACACCTGACCCCTGGCTCAGGGGGAATCCTTCCCTTTACGAAACCAAGGGGTCAGATGGATGATCTCTGTGGTCCTCTCCCTCCAAGTACAATGTTGCCACTTGGATTCTAACAAGATCTTGCTTATGTTGGAAGCCGTCAGCAGATGCTAAAGCTCTCCCTGGCGAGTGGGTACCCAGGCCTCACTGGCTGAAGGATGAGGTTGGTCCACGGTGGTGTGTCTGGTCTCTGAGTCTTATCGCAGCAGGCGGGGACGAACTCGCCTGTGGCTGAGACCTGCTCTTTGGCTGTTTTCCTCTATATAAACGCCGCATCTGGATCCAGCCAGGAGGGGCTTAGCGGGGACGGAGAGCAGGTGACATGGGGCACTCTAGGGGGAGCAAATGTGAATTCAGTACCGCCTAGAGTTGGGGAATAGAGAACAAGAGGTTCTAAAAACAGTGGAAAACTAGAGACATGATGGCCAAATGTGACATGTGAGTTTTGACAGGATCCTGGGTTTTTAAAAAAGGCTATATAGGACATTATTGGGACCACTGGGGAAATTTGAATATGACTCTCTGTTAGATGATATGTAGTCTCAATATTGAATTTCTTAAGTATACAGTGGGGTTATGCTTATGGATATATTATCTATCTTTTTAATATCTACAGAGAGGTGAAGCAAATATAAAATACTAAGAGTTGGTGAATGTAGGTGAAGTTTAGGGTGTTCATCATGCTATTCTTTCTTCTGCGAGTTTGGGGTTTTTAAAAATAAACAGCGTGGGAAAATTGCTTGTAAGTCAGAAATGTGCTATAGTATAGGTTCTCCATTCCTACAACCTCTTTCTCCCGTGTTTTATTCATCCCACACATTGAGAAGAACGCACTCCTGCTGTAATTTAAGCTCATTTCCTCATTTGTTCTCTTCTCTCAGGAGACACAGTCAGCCCTCCTTGTAAATCTAGGGCGCAGCCTGATGGATGCCCTGGGGGGCCTTGGGCCCCCGTATTTATGTGTGTTTACCCGGCCCTCTCCTCACCACCCAGCAGGAGCCTCCGTTGAGCACCAGCAGCACCAGCAGCAGCTAACGCCTGCTGGGCACCCACTCTGTCAGGCCCTTCGGCCACACCAGCTCCATCTGGGGCTAGGGTCTCTCATCACCCCATTTCACAGACCGGTCCATGAGGCTCATACTGCTTGTGAATGAAGCGCAAGAACCCAGGACTCGTGACTCCCAAACCTTCATTCTTGGCTGCTATTGAGTGGGTCTCAGCCCAGACCATGCTGGACTTACGTGGGGAGCGTTTTAAAGATAAAAGTGTGTGGGCCCCACACTGGGAGTACTGGGGTCTGGCGTGGGGCTCAGACATCTGTTGCACCGAGAGGCTTGGCTGTTTGGCTTGAGCCTCCATTATCTCTCTAAGCCTTGGGTGACTGCCATCTGTGGCCTGTCTCCTCGCCCATCCCCCTTGGAGAGTAAACTTGCACCTGAGGGATTTTCCTCAGCCCTTCCTTTCTGTTCAGAGCATGGCTGGCTTGGTTTGACCCCTGTGGCCTCACGGGATGCAAGCTGGGGCAGTGGGTGTGCTTGCATCTGAGCTGTCACGCACCATTCCCTGCTGTTGGCTTGCCGTGGAGTTGTGCGGACTTAGGTGTGAGCACCTGTGGACCCCTGCAGAGGGCAACCTGGGCCTTCTGAGAAGACGCCTCTGGGGAAGGAGAGGACAGAGGCACAAAGAGGAGGAGTGGGCCGCAGCTGTACCCACAATGCTCTGTTTCTTATTGTTTGGGTGAATCTCAGGGGAATTAGGCTGAGTGAAAGAAGTCAATCCCCAAAGGCTACATACGGTATGATTCCATTTATATAACCTTGATGTGACAAGATTATAGAAGTGGAGGGCAGATTGGTGGTGCCAGGAGTTGGGGGCCCCAAGGGACCTGGTGGTGTCACCAATACTTTGTGTCTGGACTGCATTGGTGTGGAGTTTCTGGATGTGATATTCTACTATTGTTTTGAATGATGGTGCTGTGGTGGAACACTGGGTAAAGGTCATACAGAATCTCTATGTTATTTTTTACAATTTCACATGAACCCTGTTCTCTCAAAATAAGAGCTTCATTAAAAAGAGGATATAAGGTAAATATGGCAAAATATTAACATCTATTCTATATGGGTCTTGGAAATCTGTTATATTTGTTTTATTATTTTCAATTTCTGAATGTATGAAATAGCTAGTAAAGACGAACACCTTCTAAGTATGCGTCCTTACCCAAGACCCGCTTCTGGCGCCCTCAGGCTGGTGTGATGGCAGCACAAGTCTGAGCAGTTTTGCAAGGGGTGGGAGGTGGTGCTTACCTGCTTCTGACTTTTTACTGCCCTTACTCAGCCTGGGGAAGCAGCGAGTGCTCCCCGAGGCTTGGGACCCCGTTCCCTTGCAGCTCCGCTCCTCGGTGCTCCAGCCCATCTTCTGGGCACGTTCACGAAACCGGCAAAATGAAACATCTATACTGATTCTAGGCAACAGTTACTTCTAGACTCAAAGACCTGTCACTAGGAAGGCTGTCTCCTCACTAGGATACTTCAGTTTTGGGTATCACAAAAAAAAAAGACACACATACCAGAATTTATTTATTATATAGTGAAATCACAACTTGACAATATATCCAAAAGGGACTAAATGAGACATGTAGGATAGTGTAAATGTAAAGACAGATAATATCCAAGAGAGAAGTTAGATGGGAATAGAGTCTTGGTAGTCACTACAGGGTAGAGCGTTTCCAGCCTCGAGTCGCAGGGCGGACTTGGCTGCCTACTAACACGGATTCTGAATGGCAATCAGAAGGTACTCCTTATCTGTGGCGAGAGAGGGACAAAAGTTAACCCACCCTAAAAATTAAAGTTAATGAATCAATACTTCAGCTGCTCTGTCTCCAAGATTTCACTTGGGCCTCGTGTGGACTCACGGTTGCCATCCTGGCTGCACAGTAGAATTATCTGTTGAGCTTTCAGAAAATATCCTTACCTGGGGCCTGGCCCCCAAATTCCAATTTCACTGGTCTGGGATGGAATTCCAGTATCAATAATTAAAAAAAATTTTTTTTATAAAGCTCTTAACGTGATTGTAATGTGCAGCCAGGGTGAGAACACAGGTATAGAAAATCTTTCTTTAGTTTATGGGTGGTTCTGACTTTATAGATGTACTATATAGACAAGTTTGTTCTGGACTAGATTTAGGTGCGTGAGTCCTGTTTTACACTGACATCTACTAATGCTGTGTATGTAATTCCTTCAAGGAAAGAACGAATCTCTGCGGCTGGTGTCTTCTGGTGGGCCAGGTGAATGTGCTCTTCCCCTGGGGAAGGTTTTTAAGACCTGATGGGCCTTTGACCCACCCAGTTTTATCACCTGGACAGGAGACTTCCCCCCACTCTCCAGAAGATCTCACTGTGCTGAGTTCACCTAACATGAGACCGACATCTCCTGAATATTTTAATGACTAATAATAAATGCAGGTGTGCAAAATTCAGTTTCCTCAAAGGTCAAATTTGTTGCTAATTTCACAAAATTTTCAGGCTGGAATTCTCAGTACCTTCATTTTGTAGTTGAAAAACATTATGGGTCATATTGCATGTTAAAATCTGTACTCCCTGTTCTTTGAAACAAAACTTTTATTCACTGAGATAGAAAGAGGCCTCAAATAAGAAGTGAAATGCCAAATTACCTGGAGCTACCATGATTTCGTGTTTCTTTGACCTAATCCTAAGAAACGTCAGGTCGTTCTGAGGGTCAATGTCCCGGATGGTGCTCCTGGCTTTCATAGTCAGCTGATGAAGAAGCCCTGCATACTGAACTGTTGTTGAGTTGTCCAAGGTTGTTCGGATCGGAATGCCTGTTACGAGATTTAGTCTCAGGTTAAAATTTGTTCTGATTATAAAAGTAGTGTGCACGTGGTAGAAATATCAGGCAATACTGGTAACTGTAAAGAGGAAGAAGTGATGGTTGGTATTACTCACTGGGAACAATTTTAGTTTATTTCCTTCCAATCTTTTTGTCTCTATATGGATCACAAAGGGTAATTAGGTCAAACTGTAATTACAAATTTGACTACTGCTTTTTCTTCATTTAAATATACAGGTTGTCCTTGTTAGTGACCATGGCATTCACACTATTTTTAATGGCTGTACACTTTACTATTTTATGGATATATTATAATATCATCAATCTCCTATTGTTGGATTGTTAGGTGTTGTGTTTTTGCTTTTGTAGCTAATGGTATGATGAACACTTTGGTGTACAAATCTTTGGAAGTTGTTAACTGATTATTTCAGTATAAACATATTATTATGCAAAATGCATCCCCCCAAGTGTCCGGTCTACAGGGAATCTGCTTCGAAAGGGTTGGTCTGTGACACCATGATAGTTTTCTCCCCTGAGGCCAGAGATAGAAAATAGATCACTGCACACGTTCAAGAGTACATCAGAAGAGATTTTCAAAGTTTCTTAGTAACTCCCATGCAGTATTTTGCAGACCTTAAATTTATATTGAAAATACAGCAACAAAGACATTGTAGTTTTGTTGGACATTCCCTGGTTTGCATCCATTCTTGGTTTAAGCATGATTACATTTGGCTGCTGTGTGCTCTATTGTTCCATTATCTGAGTTTAAAACAGAACCTATTAATTTAACTGGAGAAATCTAGCCAGACAAATACAAAAGTATAATTCAATTCAGTTCAAATCAATTCTGCTCAATTTGGGTTGCTCAGCGCTCAGTGCTTATTATGTAACAGGGGCTGTGCTGGGTATTTTACATATATTGTACCTAATCAGAGAGGATTTCGCATTATTTTGAGGACTACCAGATAGCCAGGGAATTCCAGGGATTCGATTTGCAAATATACCTTTGATTTAGGGGGACATATGAAGGTGAATTTGGGTTCCCTGTCAAATTCCTCAGGCTCCTGAATTAAGGCCAAGCCACAGAAGAGGTTGACGTGGCTCTTGGTTTCCCTCAGAGAACATAATTCTAGGAACTGGTCAACAAGATTGCACTTCAAGAGTGGAGCCGCATTAGAAATTTAGGAGTTGGCCTGTGTTTCATGAAACTCTTTGAGAGCCTCAATTCTGCCTTTGAAACAAACTGATTTCTTCCTATTTTACGAAAACCGCTATCTCCAGAATAGGTCCTGCAAAACGGTATGAGGATAACATTTACAGAAAAACATACTCATCATTTTACATAAAACTTCTTAACTTCAGTATACTCTTTATGTAAAACTTGTTAATTTCAGTGTAATCTGTTGGCCACTTTTCCCCCACAGGTCAGTTATGTCTTTTACACCCAATGAAGTATCACAAAGCAAGTGTCTTTAACAAGCAGGAAACTGAGATGTCGCAGGCACTCACCCTTTCAAGAGCACTTTTTGATGAATAGCACTTTATTTTACATCCTGAAGAGTGACGCCCTACAAAGTCTGCATTGCTCAGTGTCAAAACAAGAAATACAACAGGAATAAATTATTTAAAATGTAGCAGACAAGATTATGAATCAGATGTTCAGGCCTATTTAGTTAGTCGATTCATGACCCAAGTCAATAAATAAAACAGCCAGCCTTTCAGAATAATAAGTGTGCTCTGTGGTAACTTGGCACTTTTCATATCCACTGTAGACTACTTGAAAAAAATCAGTCAACAAATATTTATTGAGCTCTTGCTTGGTATCATGAGAGGTAATTAAGAATAATTTATGAAGAAGTAATTTTAGCCCAGGATATAAAATTTGCCCATTTCCCCTTCTGAGAAGTAACCATTGCTCCAGTTTCTTCAGTACCCTTCCAATACTCTAAGTCTATTCAGGTATGTTTGTGTTCGTATTCTTTATTTTAATTGTATCATTCTCTGTTCATGTTTTTCATTTATACATGTGGGAAATTGTTTGGTTCAGTATACATAAGCCTAGGTCACTCACATTAATGACTGCATAATAGGACTGTTAAATGGGTGCTTTGCTATACACACAACTACTCTACCTTCCTGAGGGGCACTCAGGCTGTTCCCAGTCTTTGACTTTTACAAACAAGGCTACAGAATATGTCTGTGTGCCTGCCGTTTCACATCTGCATATATGTGCAGGACAAATTCCTAAAATGGAACTTCTAGAACAGAGAGCATGGATTTGATATTGCCATATTTATGGCATTACTTTAAAATGTGATTCTTTTGATCCCAGTCCACTGATACTCATCAAGCGTACATTTGTACTTTGGTTGATAGATTATATTCCAAAAATAAAAGGAATTGGCTGGATGGTTGATAAAATCTAATGAAATTCAAATGATGGATTGTAGAAATGTTGAAATATTAAAAATCAGAGCCTACAGAAATCAGGCTTATAAACATAAGAATATATGACAAATATGAATGCCTGGGAAACAACTCCATATACTCCCCAGTATCTAATCCAATGATCGGTGCTGCAACACCATAAACAATGAATGGTTTTATAAATGGGAAACCAATGTTAACAAAGAATCTACTCTAATAAAAACCTATACTCAGCATGGGGCCTAACTGGTACCTGTACTTTACTGTCCTGGATAGGAAGTCTGTTTCAGTTAACAGTGGACCCAAAGGCTCTACTGAACATGGCATATGCTGAGATCTAAATGGTAGAAGGCCTACCTGACCACAAAGAAAACCTGAAAATATGTTAAAGTGATTTGCCTAGAATGAGCAGACAAAAACCCCTAGTAGAGAACAAGAACACATCAACACCAGCTGTGTTGAATATTTTCGGCATTAAATTTCATGAGACTTCTGAAAGCTGCAACTGCATTATAAGAAATGGCACTTTCATTGAAAATGGACTGGGCTGTTGAAATGGAGTATTTTATTACCTTCTGGTTGTCCACCATATACTACAGGCTATTAATAAACACCCTTGTCATGCACTCTGGTTAATAATATGACTGTAAAAATAAGCCCCTCATTTATATTTTTGGGAAAAAGGTTAGTTTGGCTTTCAGGAAAGTGTCCTGTAATCTAATACTTTATTCTAAGAGTGGCTAATTAGAAAGTAATGGGTTTCAAAAATAATATGTCGTTGCCTTTAGATAAGAAAAGTGTTAAGAAACCTCAAGAAAATAAATATCACTTTTAATTCCACCACTCAGATAATCCACCATAACATGTCCCTGCCTTTTCTTCCATATTTATTTTAAGTGTGTGTGTGCCTGCTATTTATGAAGAGAAAATGCCGGCTGCTGCTTTGTTTTCTGCTCCTTTCCATCTAATATTGTGAGTTGTTTTCTGTGACTCTGTTCTTCAGCATTTTAGATAGAATAATGGTTTGTCAAGTAATATTAGTTAATTCAAAACTTTGCCCACTCCTGGGATAGATTTGTTTTCTTATTTGTCTGTTTATTTATTACTGTTACATATGATGCCTCAGTGAGTATCCTATGAACCTAAGTCTTTTCTTCATCACCCTATAGGATAAATTCCTAGGAGTGGAATCACAGATCAGTGGGTATGGATGTTTTTCTGATGTTTGATTCGTTATCGATAGGATTATGTACTTTAGACTAAGAGCTTTCTAAGTAACATGTTAGATGAGTTGTCTTGGGATGTCACAGGGAATAAATTTATACTGGGCTGAATGGTGTCCCCCCACCCCCACGAAATTCAGAATGTGACCTTATCTGGTAATAGGGTCACAGCAGATTAGGCTCTAAGCCAATGGCTGGGGTCCTTATAAGAAGAGAAAATGGAGATACAAAGAGGAGGAGGCCATGTGATGATGGAAGCAGAGACTGGAGTGATGTGTCTGCAAGCCAAGGAACCCCAAGGATGACTGGAAACTACCAGAAGCTGGGAGAGAGGCAAAGAGAGATCCTCCTTGTAGAGCCTTCAAAGAGAGTCTGGACCTGCTGACACCTTTTTCGCAACTTCTAGCCTCCAGAACTGAGGAAAAGTAAATTTCTAATCTTATAAGTTACCAGGTGTGTGGTACTAGTTACAGCAGCCAGAGGAAATGAATATAGTACCTCTGTGAAGTCCAGCAGATACCCCCTCTTAGGGGGCGGGGCAGGGTTTATGCAAATACTGGACCTAAAATCAGTTTACCCGGAAGTATGTTCTAGGGTCGGACCACTTCCTGGAAATATTAGGCACCACGCTTCGCTTACGTGTAAGGCCGACCTTAAACCCTCTTCTTCCTGATCACTGAAGCTGAGTGACGTTTATTATATTCATTTGGTGTCATTTTTCATTTTGTTTGATTATGTTGTACAACACATCAAATGTTTAATCTCTACAAATCAATAAAAAAATTCCCATATTCTCAGAACTATTGAATTATAATTCTACTAAGGGCTGGGTATTTTATTTTAACATCATAATGGATTATAAAGGCATTTGACAATTATTTAATTATCACAACCATCGGAAGTTTATCTTCCAGTTTTACTCATAAGGGATGGAAGTTCAAAGTTTAAACAGACTTCCAGTGGGTAGTTGCTCAATAAATATTCATTGATTGATTTGCTCCAAAATAATGATTGGTTGTGGGCTTCTGTGGCCAAGCACTGTGCCATTCTATGGTTGTGCCATAAATTACACTTACATAATGTAATTGAATAATTGAATAAGTGAATAAGTGAAGTAGCTACTCTTATTTCAACTGATGCTCTGAGATTTGTGGTACCTCTTGCTCTGACAGATGCCTGAATTTGCAATGAAACCAGCAGGAGCCTTGGAGAAGTTGCCACCATAGCTGAGCATGGGCAATGGGCCAGTGAGAATGCTCTGTGGATTGGTAATAGGGATTGTGGGACGAGAGCAAGTTTTTGGTACAGGTCTACAGATTTCATCAGTGGGAAATGCACTGGCCCTTCTTATACTATATCCACAAATAGTATACTATAAGGGATATTACAATTAATTCTCAAATATTTTATTAAATATGGCAAAGGAACAATTTCATTTAAAATGAAGACTAAAACTCTGCATCCTTTATAATGTTAAAACAAAAACAAACTGTCAACAATGATATCCTTCCTATCTTCAATAGCACAGTTTTACTGGTACTCCTGAAATGTTAGAAGAGAGCTACCAAAGCTTTAAAAATTAATGGACCATGTTTCTTAAGGAAAATAGACATTTTTCAACATCTCTTATTCAGTTATATCCCTAACTCTTAGCAGAGTGCTTGGCATATCATAGATACTCAATACTGTTTGATAAGTTAATGTTACAGCTAAAATATACAAAATATCCTTCTTATTTCAAATTCTAAGATATCTGTCTTAAGGCGGAGCAAACAGGTTCTCGGTTGGCTTGCATGTCAAGAAGGCCCCTGTGATGAGATTTACCTTCTGCATTTACAACCATAGTTCCAAGAACCCCCTTGTGGCTCTGGATCCTCTTTAGGGTTTCCTCCACCTCGGCCTGGAAGAGATCAGGATGGCAGTTAGCCACGAGTGTCTTTGTGGTGACCCCAGTCCTAAGGAGAATATTGTTTAGAAGGACACCTATTTCCCTATCTCCTTAGCCTAAGGTACTGGAAGGTATACTCTCAGATTGCTGGAAGAGAGCTTTGAAATCAATTGTCAAGTCTGACATATAAGCCTACATAAGCTCCCTCCATCCACCCCTGACAGATCTCTGGCTCGAACTATTCTGGAATAGAGAGAGCTTACTGCCTCACAGGAGCTCACTCCATTTTTACCTGTATCTTGCTTGCCAGAAAAGGATTCTTTACATCAGACAGAAATCTGCCCCCAACCAGCTTTGACCCTTGCTTTTTCCATATTCATATGAAAAATTCCTGCATCTACATTATAATCCTTTGAATATTTCCAGAGCTATATTATTGTCTCCCTCTGTCTAAAAGTATCCCTTAAGGAGAAGTCCTCTTCTCAGTCCTAAAAGTTACCTAACTGGGAGTTCAGATTAACTTCAGGATATTCTGTAAAAACAATGTATTCCAGAATTCTCTTGGTTGCTATAGCCTGGGTCTCAGAGAAACCTGTTCAGCCATGTAGGAACCCCATTATTGGGTTTCAGACTCACCTTTCTGAGGGAATCTTATGCATAGACTATATTGTACCAGTTTTCCTCCCCTCTACAAATGCTAAAATCAAGAATAATCTTTTTCAAACCTGCATATTCTTCATAACTGAGTAATCATTGGATATTCTGAATTCAGAGTATTCTGCAGTCTCTTGATGAGGGTTTGTGATTTTCTTCCTTCCAACATTGTATGGGTGAACAATATGCTACTTTTTTCAAAAGACAATTTTCTGTTGCACCAAATGGGGGCAGGAGAACTTGTCTCCTCATTTTCACCACAATAGCAGGTTTTTTTCTGAATTTCAGACATTCATGTACTAGATTCACAAGTTTTACCATGATGAATACTATCTATATTATTTACCTAGCATATTCTTTAAATTATCGCACTGCTAAAAACATAAATGCATTTTAAAAGGAAACTGTCACTACCACAAATGGAAATCTGGTATTACTTGTGATAAACAGAAATAACCACTAAAAACAAACAAATGAAGCAAGAACAATTTTGCTAAATTCGACCACAATGAAAGCTCTGAGCCTGAGGTCTGTTCTTCAGGCGAAAAATGGAAATTACAAAATGGTAGGGGTATTAAGGACCTAAAAGTACCAGGAGCTTTCTCCTGGATATAGTCTAGAGGCTGAAAAAACTGAAAGAGGAATAGAATGACTTCATCAGATGTGACTGACTCTGTGGTATTTCTGAGCCATCGCACGCAGCAACTAATGTTTGCATCTCACTTTGGAAAACACTAAAGTAAAGCTAAGCTGTATGGGGGACCAGTACGTTAGTACCTTTTTGCCATCTTTAAGACACTGTCCACTGTCCACCCCCTGTCCCTTTGCCCAGTTGTTTCCCTTTTCCGGATTTCTGAGCCCTCCTGAAACAATCTCCTAATCCCCATCTGCAATCCCCTTTGTATTCCTCTCTAAAACTCTTTGCTTTCACCTTGCTCTTTTCCAAAGTACTCCAGTCTCCACTTTTCTTTCTTTTTTTAAAATTTATTTCTGCGCTCCTCCCTTCCTTTCTGCTCTCACAGTATCTCCTCCTGCTCCGCCCTCCCCATTCCCCTGCTCTCCCTGTCCCATCTCTTTCGTCCCTCTCAGCATCTGGTTTTTCTCCTCTCCCTCTCGCCCTTTCTCTTGTAGAACTCTTCTCGTGGTCGAGATCTCTTATCAATCTCAGGATATTTCACCCCTCAATCTCTCCCCTTTCTCGATATCCCCCCTGCCCAAGTTCAATCCCCAGAATCAAGCTCCTGAATATGAGCCCCCAAGATAGTTTCCGTCATCTAGGCACCTTTCCCCCACCAAATTCCATCCTCTCCTTCCACCAGCCTGTTGTCCCTTCAAGGGGCTTCTGGAGACCCCAGCCTTGGCCGCGGTGCCGGTCCCGGCCCCGGCCGGTCCTGCGTCGGCCTCTGGAACCGGGCAGCGAAGGCCCCCTCCGGTGGGCACCCCTGGAGCTTCGGGACGCGGACCGAGACACCAGATTTACCATCGCGCGGGAGACGAAACTTGGCTCAGTCCGGCTCTCCTGCTGCTGGGGATGTCAACAACGCTTCTCGCCGTTGCTAGGAGACGGGGAGGAAATGACCTCCCGGAAGCGCCGGAGATCGCGCCTGCGCGTGCGGGGGTGGGGCGGCTCTTCCGCCCGCACCTGCCTGACGCCTCCCGGCCGCCGGAGGCGGACGCTGGGTACCGTGTCCCCGCGCGCTCCCCTGGGCTTCACCTGGGCCCGCGGGGCCGTAGGGCCGAGGAGCGGAGAGGGCATAGGCCGGGTCACTCGTTCGTGCCGTCCCTCATTCATTCCTTGAGGTACGCATTCATGTGACAGGCACTTCCTCGTTCAAGAGCGATTCGGTGACCACCTGCCACGTGCAAGTGCTCCTGTGTGCCTGGGGCCCGTCCTAGCCGGGCAGACGCGCCAAAGGCGGCCGACGACGCCGTGCTGTCCGAGTGTGAGGCCTGCCCCGGAGCAAACGGGGCATGGGCCCCTGTGACAACGGGGTCGGGTCGCGTCAGTATTTGGTCGTGGCCTCGCTGCCTCGTGACCCTCCCCGTTCTTCCCTCAGCGCTGCCGTGGGAAGCGCCCGGCGTTTGTCTCCCTGCTCTTCACGGATAGTTTTGTGTTTATTAACGAGGAAATACATCGCAGCACCGAACAGTACAATCCTGTATACATTTGGTAATTCGAATCTCCCCGCTCCCTGAACTGTAGGGTAAGCGCCATCGGACATCTCAGGAGCCCACCCAGCTGTAGCATCCCTGACTGGTGGTCACGCTGTTGAAGGGTTGACCACCTAGCAGTATTTTTGTTGAAGCCGTTAGGATCTTTCTTTTTTGGTCATTATATGTCAACCGTTCTGAGTTGCTGACAAATTGCAGGTGGTAGTGCCGGCGGTTCTACATATTATCGCAGAACAGCATTCCACTGGGTCTTTCAGGAACGGATGGAGGAAACCGAAGTTAAAGATCAATTAGGGATGGTCAGAAGTGACTTGACCTTTTGAAGGGCGTCGATAATATCTTTGTAGCCTGGAAGGCAGAGAACAAGTATTGCGTGAAGTGTAGCAGAAACATTTTGTGGCTGGAGCCATAAAGTCCTGGGATTTGAAGAGGGCAAACCTTGATTACTAGATACAAGTGGTAGGTTAGGAATGCATCTCCCTAGGGACTGACGAAGCTATAATGACTCCCCGTAATGCTGACTCAGTTTGTGCTTCCATTTCCTGAAAGCAGCCTCACCGCCAGACAAGGCATACTTATTGCGAGTAATGCCATCTAGATTCTGAGTGGGCCCCTGGCACGGATGCTCTGAAACAGTTTTGAACTCAGTAACTTTGGACTAGATGATGCATTTCAACGTAGCGTTTATAATTTTAGGATATTGAGTTAAGTACAGACACACTGTGAAAAGCTCTAGTTCGTCTTCAGTTTTTGTGTGTATGTGGCTGGGGAGGAGATTCTGGTACTGTTCTCTCCCTTGTCCTCCAGGAAACTTACGCTTCTCAGAAATCCAGGTCGCAATAGTTAATCAGTTCCCCTGGTCACTCAACACCTGGAACTCCTACCAAAATGATTTGGATTGTACAGCTAAAGTGATGGGGGAGGAGTCTGGTGTGCATGTGTGTGCATGCGTATGTGTGCAAATGTGTGCAGATCTGGATCTTGACTAATTGCCTATATCCACCATTTTAAGTAATAAAAATACAGGTATGTACAGTACTACTGGTCAAATTGTATAAACGTTGGTTCTTGGGCTATCTGACTGTTTATGATCCGGGAAGTCCCACTTGATTGTGTAGCCGTTTGTTTTGCTTATAAATATCAGTGGCTGTGCGCCATATTTGTTAACGTCAGTCAGCTTTAATGAAGGAACTGACTGCATATGCATGGAGTGTGAATCCTCTCGTTTCTGGAGTCAGGGTGTCAAACTCGTTCAATAACTGACAGCTGTGATTAGAGCAAAGAAAGACTCCAGCCTGAAGGGCACTGACAGGAGTATCCAACTGCTGAAAAAGTAATAAGAAGTCGCCAAACTGACTTCCAACCCATAGTCAAGTTTGACTCACTGTGCACAGAAAATCAATGAGGAGAATATGAGCCATTTTCTCTGTATCGATTTTCACTTTTAATTATTCCTTGGAGGTAGCTTGGTTTAATTTTTAGGCCTTTTTGGGACTATAATGAATATCCAGAGCTGTGCTACATAAAGTACGCTGACATGTTGCCTATCCCATTCTCAAGACATGTGAATTACCCTCTTCCATTCTGGCACCCCCTTAACCTCTTTTGACCTATAGTAAGTGCTAAATAACTTCGAACTTAAGTGAAAGAACTAGTGAATAATTCTTGAAAGTTTTCTGAGGTGACCCTTAAATCTGTGGTATATGAAGAGACAAAGTCCACTATTCTTCACATAATTTGGTCAAAATGAGATGATTTTCTTCTAACATCTCTCTTTCTCTTTTATAATTTGTTACTGATTTCTGTTTAGCCTGCAGAAATCCAGGTTAGTTGATAATATTGTTTTCTCTTGTGATTTTCTGTACCACCCCATGTATCTTTGGCATTCCTGATTAGTTGGCAAATACTATAAACTGGGCCATGGAATGTATTTTATGTGCATTTTCTTACAAGATAAGGCATTATTTGTCAACTCAAACAGAACTTCTAGTACTTTACTAGTTTAACTTCAGAAAGTGTACACTAAATTCTTTGATAATGCCCCTCAATAGTAAGGCAGAATTAGAGGATGTCAGTGATACTAATAAGTATTCCATATAATATGACCCAGTGCCATAGAATTATGGAATTATGGTTTCAGAAGATCAGTAACTTCTTAGGACAAAGGCACCCTCTAGGGTAATTATTTCCAGGACTCAGGTGTAACATAAGCATTTACTTCCTGTAAGGGAATCCTCCCTGTTGGAATCAGGTCTGAGAGCACAGAATTTGGAGTTGTATGCATCTAGGGTTGATATTTCTAGGTGTGTTTCTTTGAGTAAAATAAATTCCCAGAGCTTCTGTTTGCTCATTTATAAAATTGGAAAGGTAATATCTACCTTAGTGGGTTGATGGGAGGTTAAATGATATTTTGAGTAAATGCCTGGCTTGTACCAGATGCTCAATATGGGTCATTTAACCACATTTCTTTCTTGTGTCTCGTTGTTTCCTTAGATCATCCTTTCTTCTTCCCTTCATTCCGTTTCTCCCCTCTCTCCTTCATTTTTCTCTTTCTCTAGCCTATGCCTTTCTACTTTCTCCCCTTCTTTCCTCTGTCCCTTCTTTACATTCTCTTCAATCTCCTTTTCCGACATCCCCTTCTTAGAAGAATATCCAAAACTTGTATTGTTGACTTTCTCATTTAAGAACATCTTTCTCTTCTCCTAGTCCCTTCCTCCTGTTACTCAGTTAGAATATTCATTTAATGTAATGCACTACTTCTGATCTCATTTTCTTCAGTTTCCATTTTGAAACTTCAGCTCCAGCCAAAAAGTTACCTTCTCAGTAGACTGAACTAGATATTCTCAGCATCTCAGGGTAGAGGGAAAACTGTAAATATTTCCTCATCTATTAATTTTTTTCAAACAAGGAAGGGCTGAAGGAAGCAATAAATCCCATACACTTTGCTGATAATCTAGTTTCAAGATCTCTGATTTGTGTTTCTTCAGCTCTCTGATCTATTTAGTTTCAAAATTCCTTTCATTGATAGGTATAATACACAGAAAGTTAGGCGCACAAAATAAAAATTAAATGGGTGAGTTATTAATAAGTTAGATCCATAAAACAAAACATACAATCAGTGAGCTGCCACCTCAAAATGAACTTTTGTGTAACTCCCAAAAAGCTCAAGAAATAGAACATGTCCGCATTCCAGAAGCTTCCACATGGCCATTCCCAACCTTTACTCCCATGCTGTATGGCCTGAAAAGCTTAAAATATTTATTATCTGGCCCTTTACTGAAAAAATTTGCTGACCCTTATAACAGACTGTTCCTCCTCTCTTCAGTCTTCAAAATATGTTGGGTGGTTAAAAACAAAAATTACAACATTGTTCAGGGTTTTCAAACTATGGAAATGTAACATGTAAAATAACTAGAACATAATGTGGGGGTGAGTAGAAAGTAATGTGGGACCTATTTGAGGGTAAGGAGCTTATATTCCACTTGAAGTGTTCAAGTACCGATTCTAAGGAGACTGAAAAATGAGATATTAATCTCTAGAGCACCAAGTAGAAAAGTATACTGGTAGAGTAAAACACAATAGATAAATTAGAAGCTAGTACTGAAAATTGTTCAAGTCTAAAAACAGTGGGATGAAAAACAAATGGAACAATTAGAAGACAAATGATGTAGAATGAAATCCTTGTATATCACTGATTACATTAAATATAAATAAGCACACCAATTAAAAGAATTTCAGAATTAAAAAATTATTAGTGATTTCTGTTTCTGGGAAAATGGAGTAGATGTGCTTTTCCCTGTTCCTCCCACTTAATATAACTAAAAACTCTAGAAATTACACAAACACAGCAAGAGTCTGAAAGATGGAGAGAATCAGTCAAATTGTCTAGGGACCTTGGGACTCAAGGAACGTCATGATCATTAGTTACCTGGGTTCCTTTTTGCCTCATATATTCTGCACTTGGAGATAAAGAAGCTGGAAGACCAGAAATGCCGATAGGCACTTACATTTTTAAAAACTTTGGCAAAAGCCAATTTTCTAGCCAAAGGACTGGAAAGAGCAAGCCAACAAGATAGAAATTCTTAGAAAATAACCACTTTTCTCCAGCCAAGTAGTACAGAAGACAACTAGCCAAGGTCAAGTGGAGAGTGTAGACTGCCTCTCTCGCTGTGCTGCAGCTTTCCCCATCTGCCAAGGCTGAGTGGGGAGTGGGGAGTTTCATCTGGCTGGTTGTTAATTAGTTAGGCACCCTCCCACCCTCAGCAGTTTCAGTGAAATCCAAGTGGGGAGCCTGGATGGCCA